ATTATATCTCAATTGTAAACCTTCGGTTTAGCTTTTGGACTTGTTCTGAGCACTGACTCAACTTGGGTATCTCCTAAATGGGGGTGTAGATTTCTTCCCATACCATAGCACTGTATTCGCAAAACAACAAAACATGTAGTTGCCTTCTACTAAGTTTGTCCTGATTTAGTAGGTGTAAACAATGCTGATCTTTTGGAGGAGGTAAGCAAAAAGCCCACTTTTTGTTGAAAATTTTGGTAAGAATGGCAGAAAATGAAAATGAAAGGGAGACCTCTTGATACCACTTAAAAGAAAGTGAGTTACTAAAAACAACAAAGACAGCCTTTTTCCAAACAGTGCATTACTCAAATTTTGTCAGTAAGTGATAAACTCTGAACTTGTCGGCAGGTAGCATATGAGAACTACCTCTAAACGACAAGCACCGGGTCTGCAGTAAGTGATAAACTCTGAAATTGTCAGCAGATAGCATATGAGAACTATCTCTAAACGATAGTTGCTGTCTTACAGTCCCTTCATTTTTCGACTTATAAGCTGAGAAGTAGGTTTTTACTGTTTTTGTTGAGTAGTTTTTTTAAAAAAATTTTAACCAAGTGATCGTTAGAAAGAGTTGAGGTTGGTAATCTATTAATTTGTATATTAAAATTTAGCTGTAAAATAATTTTAACATAATCAGGCATAATGATTTTCAAACAACTGGCCCAAGGAATTGGCCAGAAGTGATTACAGAATGTTAGAGATTCTGAGCCTATCTAAGAAAAGATAATTTCGTTAATCCAATGATGGGCTTGAATACTACCTATAAAAGTTTTGAGAAGAATATGAATTAAGTTTACAATTGATGAAATTCACTGAATTGGCTAAACAAGCTCGATGTGAGTATATAACTAACGTTTTTATTAATAATAATTCAGATCCTTTATTTAGGCCAATTCTGATTACTAACAAAAAGCTAGTGTGCAAACAAGTGAAGCATCTCTGACAAATGCAGAAATTATCTGCAAAATAGAAGTGCTTTTTGAATATACAAATTAGAGATTTAGAAAAATTATCATAGATTAAGGTCAAAAAAATGTACTGAATTGTTGATTGTATTGGAAGAGATAAGGTCTTTAATTAATTTAAGCAATGAATTTAACAGTGACTATAGTGAAAGTTTAGAGAATGTGGCAAGCAAAGTAGAACATACTAGTCAGAGTTCTGGATCGGTTATTTGAAATTAAAGGCTGTTAAAATTGCCAATTCTGTAATTCATTTTTTATTTTTTAATTTTTTAATTTTTATTTTTAATATCAAGTATTATATAGTTTTGTTTTACTAATTTTTAAATTCGTATTGAATTTTGAATTCAAATTTGTAATTTTGATCAAGAAAAAAATATTTATTCAATAAAAAACTAAAACTATTATTATTTAAATATTTTACAACTGAATTAAGCTATACATTTTTTATATGTCTCAAATATTTGAATACAGAAATAGACCAGATACAATGCACAAGGTCCAGTATATTTAACAATTTAAAAATCTCTAATACTGTAACAAACTTTAAAGACCTGGTTATAGTATATAGTTGAGAGTTTATTTCAAAAAGTATAGTTGTTATCCAAATAGTTATAACTATCTAGAAGTTCCAAAGTTCCAAACTATATACTATAGTTAGGTTTGGGTGGCAACTAAAAATTTTTGAAATAAATATATACATACTTTGCATTTATAACATGCAACCTATGTTTAAAAAAAGCTATATTTCAGCAATCTTAAGTTATGGGAGGAACTTTAAAAGCTGCTATTTTTTTATTTTTTATTTTTTGTTATTAAGGGGCCTCTTTGGCCTGGAGAATGTCTTATTAGAATGTAAACAGAGTTTTATAATGTAGTTACAATGATGGTACATCAAGCCACACATGTACCTTTTGAGTGCCTAATTTAAGTAGTCCACCCGAAGGTTCTACACTATCTGCTGTACCTGCACCCCAACTAGAGAGATACCTATTTAAACTATCTGGTTCCAACTACCTCTATTATAACTCTAACCCAAGAGTATTACTTACTATATGGTAGTGGGTTTTGCATTTACCCTATTGGAATTAGCACTCTATCTTAGAACTTACTAACTTAAGCTAATCTATTCTTAAGGTAAACCTAACAGAGCAGTACATGTCTCACACATGTATTCACCTGCATGTTCTGTAACGGCTTTCTAATTAGTACATATTGATCTGCCATTCCATATTCGTATCTCACGCCACCTTTTGGAGTGCTGCTATTTTACAGATATTTCTCAAGCACCAACCTTCCTAATTAGATGCTTATTACATACTTCTTGCCCTTATCCGGTTCACAACAACCCCAATACTCACATTTAGACCGTCTTCTTATCTGAATTTTTTATTGGTCCCTTCCTTACTTCCAGCCAGCAACCTGGAAGGGTTGGTCTGCCCAGGCTTTAGGATACCCTCCTCTTGGTCCATACTTTCGGAGTGTATATCCTTTTTCTCCAGTGCAACAACCTGGCGGTTCGGCTGGTGTGTCCACCGCCTTAAGACCTGGTTGCTTGGTTCTCCAATTTCGGACCCTAGTTCGAATTTAGCCCTCCTATGATACTGTTGAAGATCACTGCTACCTCCAGATTCGGGTCTTCCCAAATGGGTTATGCCAATTTCTCGTGTTTATTGTCTGAAGCTTCCATTTCTAGATAGTGTGACCGAAGTTATAGATTATAGTTCTAGATCCAACCGATAAGCATAGCTATCAACTGAACACAGGTCTATTTTTCAAATATCATCACTAGTGAGATTTGAACTCTAAACCTGCCACTTGGAGAGGGTAATGACTAGACCACTATACTAAGTCGCCACACTTCTCTATTTTTTTTTTTGCTTAAGTGTATTGTTTGAATATTATTTAGTACTATTTGACTTATAAAAATAGTTATTAGTATTTTAGTATATTTTTTAGTTGATTTGATTGGTCAATTATTAATTAGCCAATCACATGATTGTTCTTTCAGAAATATCTAAAATTATATGATCTACATTTTATTACCATATAAGGTGCGATTGATGTTGTCCATATTTGGTAATAGTCCTGACTGTATTAAGGTATAATATAAATATAATGTATATACAAAATTTAAATATCTCATTTTTAAAACATACATTGGTTAATAAAATTATCTATCATTATACTCACTAATTAATCAAAATAAATATAATATAATACTTTAGTAAATATTTAAGTTAGTTACAAAATCTTGGCAAAAATGCCATTAAAATAAAAAAAGAAATTTTTAGTATAGAATATAATAAGATTGTTTGAAATTAAATTTTCGCCTAATGTTATTTTTTTCATGTTTGTCCAATAGGAGAGAGAAAAATTAAACAAAACATAAAAATTAAACATGATATACTGAAAAATTCTAACAACTACACTGGCTCTTATATCGATTAATCTGTCTCTTCTATTTGTTTAATTATTTGGAAACTCAGGAGATGGAGGAGTAATGTTAAATAAAAAATCAATTTCAAATAGTCTAAATTAAATATAACTTTACTTATTATTATAATTATTTGTACCTCTTAAAAATTTGTCAAACTTTAAGGTTTAATTTTACTATGCGTTTATATATACTGTAATATGCAGTTTTCTAATATAATTACATGATTAGTAGCAATTATTACTGCTAATAATTTTAGTAAATTTTAATTAATAAAATAAAAGTCCAGTGTCTAAAGTTATAAAAATTATAAAATTATTAATTAAATTCCTAGTTTTTAGCTCTATTTTTGGTTTGGCATAATTGTATTGCATAACTATTTAATTATATATTATTATAGTATAGTATAACAGTATCGCATTATTACACTACAAAGATACTATAGTATTTTGCTATTATGGCATTACAGCATTATGGCATTACAGCATTGTAACATTACAGGATTGTGGCAATTAAGTTTTGTGCTATAAATAATTTTACTGCCAACACTAGATAGGCTGAATTTAGCAAAAACTTCTTGCTAGATACAATTCTATCTTTTTTATTGTCAGTGAAATGTATTGTTAGTAAATTTTAGTGACAGTAAAGAAAGCTTGTCTGTAAATTTAAATTGTCAGTAAACTGATTTTTAGTGAATTTTTGTGTCAGTGAAAATTAACTTGTTGGTAAAACAAGCATGTGGTAAATTAAATATTGGTAAATTAATCTTCTGTAAAAAAATCTTGTTGGTAAAATGGATTTGGTAAAATGTGGTGTTTTCAAAGTGATTGTTGGTGAGTTGAAGAGATTCCTGTGCATTGATCCTATCTTGAATATAATCTAGGATATAACTGTTAACCTTTTATATAAATAGGATATAAAACTGGCTATTAGATTTTATTAAAGATTATAACCTTTCAGATAAAAAGTTAACCAGGTATGACCACTAGTTTTATTAGCTTGATTAAACATAATTTATAGATACTTTATATTAATCCTTTTCAGTCCAAATTCTAATAGCTCTATCCTCCTTTATGAATTTTTGATTAACTAGAACTTCTTTTTTAACTTTGATTTTATTCAAGTAATATTGCTTAAGATTATGTATTTTACTACTATGACTGGTTTTTGTAAATTTCTGATAATAAATAGGTGCTTAGCATTTATCATATTTGTTCTCAATTTCTAACCCTTTTTGTGATTTTGAAGAAAAATTTTCAAGCAATTCCAAGTATCTATTGATTAAGTTCTTCATTTTGCCTTCTGAATTGCCACCTTTTTTATATGCTAACATGTTGAATTCTTTTAATATATAGTAGACATCAAGAGCTTTAGTAACTATTAATCTTTTTCATTAGGGTTTTAGAAAAACTTTTAAGGTAGGAAATAAACTTTTCTTTTCTGTAGTTGGAGTTAATTAGATATATTGAGGTAGGTATTTAATTAGGACTTCTTTAGTACTTCTTTCATCTGTAAAATCTTTTAATATTTTTAGCAATAATTTCAGGGTTTGAGAAATCTGTACTTCATCAATATAATCATCTCCAAAGCTTCATTTATGATTTCTTGAACCTCATCAACTTGCTTATTAGTAAGTGCTTTGAATAAACTATATCAGGAGAAATTTTTTAGTGCTATTTTGCGCAGATTTGCAAAAAAAAATTAAATAATAAATTAAATAAAAATCTGTGCAAACCTTCAGACTCACTAGCTATAGCAACAGAAATTAAAATACAGTTCTACACAAAATTTTAAAATATAAAAAATTTTGCAGTTTTTTGCAAAAAATTCTGCAAAAATCTGTATTTTTGCAGGTTTTTGCAGATTTGCATTTATTTAATTCTCCCAATATATTATACTTTCTTCTAAGTATTTGTACTCTGGTATATAAAAGTGCTATGTTTTTTTTAAATTACAAGAGAAGCACCATACTTCTGTTTGTGAATTTCTTTATGCAAACTTTCTTTTTGAAGATTTATGCCTTGTAATTCTTTACTATTATTTGATAATTTTTTCTAACATTGAATCGTAGGTGTGGGTAGTACTCTGAATCAGATTGGGTTAGAAAAATATGACCTGAAAATTTTAGTTTAAATATCAAGATTATTCAATTTAGAGATGCTCAAAATTAGCATTATGTTTTTTTTTTGATTCTAATAGCAAGTATATATGTGTTTTTAAATAATATTTTAAATAAAATTTTACAAATCAGATTTCTTTAAATGATCAACACAAAATTGGTACTTAATTTTGATTGGTTAACGGCTTATAAAAAAAAATTTAAAGTGCAATATATATAATAAACATTAACTATACGAAAAAATGTATTTAATTAATAAAGATCCTATAGTTCATGCCTGGGACTAATTCATAGTAGGTCTACTATTTTTACAATACTTTAAGTTAAACAGTTACTTAAATTGTTAAAGAATATTGAACTAATTCTAAATCTACTTAGCATATATTTAATTTTAAAGTCAAATAAAACATAACATTTCAATAACATAATTTTAGTAGTATCTAGCTTGAAGAGTATAAAAATACACCATATATGTAACTTTTTATTATTATTAACATAATCACTAGTCAATAAAAGACATATTGTATAAAGTAATACATATATATAAATATGAATAGCATCCGATTAATAATCTAAAGATAGTAATAAATTTTTTTATATTAAATTCCATAAATTAGTAAAATTAAAATAAAAAAAATTTATATTTTGGATAGGTAGATACCAAGATATCTTCGTTCAAAATTTGGAATAAGTTAGGGCAATTATTAAAGACAGTACTAAGTTTTTTCAAAATTTGAATAAGAATATCTCAGTAACTATTTATCCAAAAATTGATGAAATTTTTTTTTGTTTTAATTCTATTAATTCTAAGAATTAAATAAAAAAAAATTTTGTTAATTTTTAATAGGCAATCACTGAGATATCCTCATTCAATATTTGAAAAAAACTTAGCCACTGTCTTGATAATCACTTTGACTTTTCCAAACTTTAAATGAAGACATCTCAGTAACTACCTATCCAAAATCTATGAAAATTTTTTTATTTAATTTTACTAATTCATGGAATTAAAATAAAAAAAGTTTTATAGATTTTGAATAAATAATTACTAAGATATCCTTGTTCAAAAATCTTAGCTGCAGTCTGTTTTGATAATTACTTGACTTTTTCACCTATTTAAAATCTATGAAAATTTTTTTATTCTAATTTTATTAATTAAAAAAAATTCATCAATTTTGAATTGGTAATCATCAAGATTTTCATGTTCAAAGTTTGAAAAAAGACGCATTTTAATAACTACCTTAATTTTTTCAACCTTTGAACAAGGATATATTAATAATTATATACTCAAAATCAATGAAAACTTTTTATTTGATTCTATTAATTAGTAGAATTAAAATAAAAAAAACTTTCATCGATTTGAAAAGGTAATTTGAGATATCCTTGTTCAAAGATTGAAAAAATTAAGCAACTATCAAAATGCATCTTTTTTCCAAACTTTGAACAAGGGTATCTTGGTAATTACTCATTTAAAATCAATAAAATTTTTTTTATTTTAATTATTTAAATTGGTAAAATTAAGATAAAAAAAAATTTATCAATTTTGGAAGCCTAGTTACTGAGATATCCTCATTCAAAATTTGAAAATAACTTTGCCAAAGTCTTGTTTGATAATCGCTTTAGCTTTTCAAATTTTGAGTAAGGATATCTTGGTAAATACTTATTCAAATTGACAAAATTTTTTTATATTAATTTTACTAATTTATAGAATTAAAATAAAAAATATCTTAATCAATTTTGAATAGACAATAACTGAAATATTTTTGCTCAAAGTTTGAAAAAAACTTAGCGCAGTCTGTTTTGATAAGTTTTTACCAAACTTTGAATAAAGGATATCTCGGTAATTAACTATCCAAATTCAATAAAAATTCTTTTATTTTTAATTCTACTAATTCATAGCATTAATATAAAAATTTTAGTTGATTTTGTATAGGTAATTATTGTACTTTCTTTTGTCAAAGTTCAAAAGAAAGATAATACATGCATGTCTATACATATGAATATGATTGGCCAGAAAATGATCTACAGCACGTGACTACAGTGTTTAGGGACAGTGCAGTCACGTGATATTAGAAAAATAAAAATTTTCAAATATTTAAATCAAAATATCTTGGCACTATCTAACCCAATCTGATAACTTTTTTTTAATTAAATTAAATATACTTATAGAATTCATATAAAAAAAAATCATCAAATTTGATCAGATAGTTATAGAGATATTTTCACAATATTTTAAAAAATTTGAGCGAAGATATTTCTACAACTATTTAACCAAATTTGATAAATTTTTTTATTTGAATTCTATAGATTCATATAATTCAAATAAAAAAAAATTATCAAACTTGGAGAGGTATTTTTGAAAGAAAATCAAAATGCCTATTAAAATAGAAACTATGTTAATTTTTTTAAAAAATTTGAGTTCAGATATCTCTACAGCTGTTTAGCTAAATTTGTCAATTTTTTTAAAATATTTGAGTTCAGATATCTCCACAGCTGTCTAACTGAATCTGACAAAATTTTTTTATTTAAGTTCTATAAATCCATATAATTCAAATAAAAAAAATTTTATCAAATTTGGTTAGATAGTTGTTGAGATATCTTTGCTCAATGTTTTTAAAATAGCTTCTATTTTGATAGGAGTTTTGATTTCTCCCTAACTTTGAGTGAAGATATCTCCATATCAACCTGACCAAATTCGACGAATTTTGTTTATTTGTATTCTATAAATTTATAGAATTTAATAAAAAAATTTTTAACTAAATTTGGCTGGGTTGTACCAAGATATTTTGGGTTAAAGATTTAAAAATTTTGATTTTCTAATATCACATGACTGCGCTGTCCCTAAGCAACTACCCCAGTATCGCCATCAAAATGTTATAGTCACATAACAATTTTTGTGGCATAAACAAATCAGATTTAAAGATCAGGTGTGGAAAATTCAAAACAAACATTCACTTTGTCAAAAATCGCTTGTTTCATAAAAAGTAGTATAAGAAATCACTACCTTTAATGCTTTAACAAAAAGTTTTCCTTGAGCAATTTTACCTATAGTTCTCACTCACTCTAACCCGAACACAATCCCAACCCTAATCTAAACGAACTTAAAGAATTTTTCGATAGTTATATGACTATAACATTTTGGTGATGATACTGGGAAAGCAAAAAGTCTACGGACAGTGCTTAGAGACGACTACCCCAGTATCGCCATCAAAAATTTCACCCCCATGTGATCTGTGTTATATAAATATTTAAAGATTCTATTAATTAATTAAAAGGTTTTTTAATACTTCTAGCGATATTTTCTCAATATCTACTTAATGAAATATGATAAATATTTTTTATTTTAATTATAAGGTTTTGTAGAACTAAAATAAAAAAAGTTTCATTGAATTTGGTTAAGTGGTTGTCAAGAAATCATCGCTAAAGGTATTATAAATGCTTAAAATATGTTAGAATAAATACTAAAATTGTGAATTTTTTTTGTTTTTAAAATTTAAACAAATATTTCTTGACACCCAACTATCCAAATTTGATAATTTTTTTTTATTTTAATTCTGTGGATCCATAAAGTTAAAATAAAAAAAATTTATCGAATTTGGATAGTTTGGTGTCAAGAAATATTCTTTAAAAGTTAAAAAAATTTGGCCGCAGCTTTTTTTTTAAAGACATCTAAATTTTGAACGAAGATAACTTAGCACTTACCTTATCAAATTCGATCAATTTTTTTTAT